ATATATATATATATATATATATATATATACTAAGGAAAATAGTAATAATTCAATTAAAGAAATATATGGAAGAATGCAACCACTCCTTTGAATTGTTTTGGTGCACCTTCAATAGTTGTGTAGTTTACAGGAAGAAACGGAGTCCTCAAGGATAAGAAAATGTGATGAAAAAGTCAATACAATGTGGATTACTCGGCTGTGGATTCCCATAAATAAGGTAAAGCGTAAATGGATAAAAAAATAAGCAATTGACAAACACGGATAAGCATACTTAGTTGTCTCAACAATTCGTATTTACATTTGTGCTTTAGTCCATGTAGGTTAAAGTATACATAACACAGAATAAAAAAAATTAATAATAATAATAATAAATCATAATAAAAATAAGCCTCTGTAGAAACCTTCCTCATTAAATCTCACCGAGGCGATGACAGGCAGGAAAGTATTTTGCCTCCTATTTTGACAGAGAACAGTGGGAGTCAATAAAACTAAAGTTTTATTGAAATTATTGTATTAGGGAAAGGGAAAAACTTCAAAGAAAGACACAAGGTTCATTAATTCTGAGACAAGTATATTTTAGAAAATATTTCACATGTATGCGTCTGAAGGAAGAAGAGATAAGTTGGCACACCATTGATTTGAATTTAGAATGCTTTTCCGATGTCATTAAAAAAAATGTTCCATCACCCCATAAGAAAAATAATTAAAAAATAGAACTTCTTTATCCATTCGTACCCATCCCTTGACATTGATTACATTACCATCACTTATACAGCAATCAATATCACCACGGAAGTCTCTACAGCAATGTCCCCACGTGAATGTATGCTCGCATCTACACCTTCGGGGTAAGAGGTCTAGAGAATCGTCACTGGTACGCAGAGATTCCAGTGGCGTACCCTCACTCCACTACTATTTAAGCAACCTTCATATTACTTACATATTATCATTTTAACCACTACCAAGTTATTTTACTTCCCTAGGGTGATGTGTTAACGGGGCTTTTCCAGGAGCAAAAAGATCAACCTCGAGGATGCAGCATTTTGTTGCATCAGAACGAAATGTAATGAGCGCGACGCACAGAAAAATAACACAATGGATGCCAGCATGGCATTTCCAACGCCAGTCTGAAGATGGCGTGCTTCTCTTGTCTAAGCACTCTAAACAAGAAACGCGGCATTGACAATGGAGAAAGCTAGACTTGGTCCCCCTCCCTCAGAAAAAAAGAAAATAGCGCAAGGGAGGATATGGGGTAGCCAGCCAACCCCGCAGTAAACGACGACACCATCGAGCCTTACTACAGCTTGACGGTGCAAAAATCACGCAGCGAGACCAAGAAGTCGTACTCGGGAGAGTTTGTCCCGTACATCAACCCCGCGTTGAGATCCAACAGCAAATCAAACTCCATCGCACGCTCATGGCGCCCCATTTCGGCTAGCAAACAAGAAGTGATCACCAGCACGGGGGCACCTACTAGCATGAGCTCCTCCAGTCCGACCACCGCCAGCATGCGAAAGTCGCAGAGGTTCAGGTGACGCTTTAGACTTTCCACGGTACGCGCACACGTTTTCCGCTTGCACGTGTTCTGGTTCGTCTCGAACGCGGTAAGCAGGCGGGCCGCACCGCCGGATTTGAAGAACACCGCGCTGGTGTCGCGCGCCTTCGGATTGACCTTCAGGCTCGTGTGCTGCTCGATGGCATCGCCTACCGTCTGCATGAGGGGGAACTTGCCGTGGATTCCAAACAGATCCGGTAGCTCACGCGCTAAGTAGTGCGCGCTCTGCCCCGGAACCATGGTCACATCCTCAGCGAAGAACCACGAGATGTAGTGGAACGAGTTACGCTGCGTTGGTGTTTCGATGCACGCCAGCTGATGACGAAGCATCTGTGTCGTGATGCCAAGCCGCACCTGGTGATTTTTGGGGAGCTCTCGCACGAGCCTCATGCTTGGGTTCATTCTTTTCGCATGAAAAAAAAAGGAACTGAGGCCTTTAGGATTTGAAATGGTGTCCACTAAACTTCCCCAGTTTTCATTTACAGACCGAACTTTCAATCTAGAAGAGAAACTGTCGTTCTTACACACGATGTCTTGTTCGTCTTCTGTCTCATCCTCTTCATAGGGGGTGAACTCTACACTGGGCATATTCTGAAGGACAGTCTGCGCGGTGGCAGACTCCGGCATACTACAAACCGTCCATTTCACAACAAGATGCGTGAGATTCGTTAGTTCCAAGCAGTTGTTTAAAACACGTTCCTTTAGCTTATTCTTGGACACATCTAAATGATGAATATACTGCAAACTGAGTACGATGTAGTTGAGAGTGGCACTCACGAAGTAAAATAGAAATGTGTGTTTCATACATCGGAAACTTCGCATAATGTCGAGGGGTGTGGCGAAGAGTTTATCCCCAAAATTGCCACCATGCTTAGACTGCACCATCAAGTCCTCGCCAACCTCACTCCTCCACAGCATCATCAAATGGAAAAACTCGAACAGATAGGTGATGACAAGGGCGTAGTAGGTCATCGCGAGCCTGCCGTTCATCTCGTCCGCGGGTTCGTTTAGGTAGGTATAAGCAATATCCATGCATAGGCGAATGAAGTCGATCACCTGGATCACCTGGTTATCAAGGGAAAGCTCGATCAACTCAGATGAACTCGTCTCTGCATCTTTGGTTAACTCATTGGATGCCCCACAGGCCCTGTCGTCTGACCCACTAGCGTTGGTCCGCCGCACGCGGTTGTGCAGGTTTATCCAGAACTTATAGGACGGGTGGGTGTGGATGATTTGATGGAAAATCGTCTCGGAAATGACATAGCGACCCTCCTGAATTGCCCTCACGCCATCACGGTAGAGTGAAGACGCATCGTCGTCCGATTTACACAAGAGTCTTCGAATACAGTTCATTAAGTTGTCGATGGATTTGTGGTTGCTTTTTGGATGCCGCCTGTTTCACTTGGCAGCGTAACCGAGTGTGTCTTTGATTTAGTACGAATTGAAGATACTTAG